CTACGCCAGAGCTCCCTGTCGGCCGTTACCACCCCCAGCTCCCTCAAGGTCAGTCCAGTCACTTCAAGGATGCCATCCATCCATCTTGCCCTTGGTCGGCCCCTCTTCCTTTTGCCTTCCACTTTCCCCAGCATATTGTCTTCTCTAGGCTTTCCTGTCTCCTCATGATGTGGCCAAAGTACTTCAACTTTGTCTCTAGTATCTTTCCCTCCAGTGAGCAGTCCGGGCTTTATTTCCTGGAGGATGGACTGGTTGGATCTTCTCGCAGTCCAAGGCACTCTCAGCACTTTCCTCCAACACCACAGCTCAAAAGCATCGATCTTCCTTCGCTCAGCCTTCCCTAAGGTCCAGCTCTCACATCCGTAGGTTACTACAGGGAATACCATGGCTTTGACTAGGCGGATCTTTGTTGCCAGTCTGATGTCTCTACTCTTCACTATTTTATCAAGACTGGACATTGCTCTCCTCCCAAGAAGTAAGCGTCTTCTGATTTCCTGGCTACAGTCTGCATCTGCAGTAATCTTTGCACCTAGAAATACAAAGTCTGTCACGGCCTCCACGGTTTCTCCCTCTATTTTCCAGTTGTCAATCATTCTTGTTGCCATACTCTTGGTTTTTTTGACGTTTAGCTGCAACCCGGCTTTTGCGCTTTCTTCTTTCACCTTGATTAGAAGGCTCCTCAGCTCCTCCTCGCTTTCGGCCATCAGAGTGGTGTCATCTGCATATCTGAGGTTGTTAATGTTTCTTCCAGCAATTTTCACCCCAGCTTTGCATTCATCCAGCCCCGCACATCGCATGATGTGTTCTGCATACAGTTAAAAAGGTTGGGTGAGAGGATGCAGCCTTGCCGTACGCCTTTCCCAATCTTGACCAGTCTGTTGTTCCGTGGTCAGTTCTGACTGTTGCTACTTGGTCCTTGTACAGATTCCTCAGGAGAGAGACAAGGTGGCTTGGGATGCCCATCCCACCAAGAACTTGCCACAATTTATTATGATCCACACAGTCAAAGGCTTTAGAATAGTCAATGAGGAGGTGACAATGGGCTGCCAAAAATCCCCCAAGAGCATGGCTGACTAGGAGGGGGTTATTTCTCTCTAGGAAAGGTTATTGATTCCCTCCACTCCTGCCATGTTACTTTCTTTCACCCCTCATGCCTCCAGAGTCCTGATGTGCACCTCTCTCAGAAATGGGGGACAAATCCTTGCAGAGGAGTTTGAGCCATGTTCTGCTGTTAATGCAATCACATTTCTGGCCTCAGACCAGTTCCAGACCTGTCAATCTGATCATCCACACAGTGAAACTGATTCCTCCGAAACCAATTAAAGATGTATTTATAGTATCAGGATAGAAGGACCAGCAGGTGATTTGTATAGGAAACCATTGTATTTTTTCTGCAAGGAACATAATATTTCTTCATCATATGCTATTCCATGCATAGATAATGTTGTTTGCTATGGACACAATGTTGTCTTCTGCGGAACACAACCACATGAAATTTTGGGGTACCCAAGTCCACCATTGCAAAGAAAGTATTAAAAATGATATGATTTCCAAATATATATATATTTCATAATGAGAAGAAGAAAAAGCTAAAATCATTAATTGCTTTCTTAAAGAACAAATACAATGAAGAATTGCATCCACAGTATGAAGCTTCAGATTGGATGCCTTGAAAAACAGTAACAAAATACAGTTGATGCACTATTTCAAAGCTCTGGGAGGTGAAGTTTATTATGTTGTCACAACAATACAGCAAATTAGACAAGAAAAAGGGATGATAAAGGAAAACAAGGAAAACATCTCTAGGAAAGAAAAAAGGACATCCAACCACTGGAGTCACCACTAATTCATCCTGCAAAGGGGAGATGAGGACAGAAGTTCTGTCTTGGTGGATGAAAGAGAGAGCTTTATAAGAAAGGGATAGGTATGGAAAGAGAGCTGAGGAAAAGCACAAAGAAGGAATCAGCAGAAGGGGGTGTGATGGGATCAATTTAGTGGAAGAGAAGGATAAAAGGCATTCTGAAACAACTGGAGAGTAGAGATAACACAAGCAATGAGAACAGAGAGAAAAAAATTACAAATGCTTAAATGAGAGCCAGTGCCAGAGTCTTGCACATTCTCTTTTAAGAAGGGGCATTAATGAACTAAAGGAGATTGGATGCAGAAGACTGGGGCTTAAATTCACTGGGGGAACAATTGAAATCTTCTCTGTCCTTATACTCCTAAACGTCACCCTAAAACTGGTCTCAAATAGTTTCCAATGCCTCTAGAGTTGGCTTTGGGGCAAATGGGATAATGTATATGTGTGTTGGGGGAGAGATCACTGAATTAATTCAGAACCCTTCCACACAGACCTATATTCCAGAATATCAAGGCAGAAAATCCCACATTACCTGAGTGTAGACTCAGATAACACAGTTCAAAGCAGATATTGTGAGATTTTTTGCCTTGATATTCTGGGATATAGGGCTGTTTGGAAGGGCCTATAGTCACTTACCCAAACTCTAAATTTGTTGGAGAATTCTGTTATTAGTGGGATTTATGTTCGAGATGTGTTTGAGATTGAATACACTGAAATGCATAGGTATCAATGCATGGCTTGGTACATCTATATATATAAAATGCTCTGTGCATAATGAATACCTTAAAAACAAAAGAACCAATGAACAAAATCACACCAAATTTGGCAACAAAATGTCTCACAACACAAGGAGTGACCATCACTCAAAAATTATGATTTTGTCATTTGGGAGTTATAGTTGCTTGGATTTATAGTTCACCTACAATCAAAGAGCATTCTGAACCCCACCAATGATGGAATTGAACCAAACTTGGCACACAGAACTCCCATGACCAACAGAAAATACTGGAAGGGTTTGGTGGGCATTGACCTTGAGTTTGGGAGTTGTAGTTCACCTACATCCAGATAGCACTGTGGACACAAACAATGATGGATCTGGACCAAACTCTACAAGAATACTAAATATGGCCAAATGTGAACACTGGTGGAGTTTGGGAGAAATAGAATCTTGACATTTGGGAGTTGTAGTTACTGGGATTTATAGTTCACCTACAATCACAGAACATTCTGAACCCCACCAACGATAGAAATGGGCCAAACCTCCCACACAGAACCCCCATGTGGGCCAAGTCCAATCTATAACATTGATTTAGTCGTCCAAGTCCAATCTATAACATTGACAGCTCAAGAAATACTAATGTATTACAAGTTGTTAATTGCATGGCCTTTTAAAAGAAATATGCATTTCCTTTTAAAATATGATAAATATGGCAAATATTTATATTTCTTATTTCATTGAAATTATATCCCACCTTTCTCCCAAAGGGAGATCCAATATCATCACAGTCGATCTGCTGATTAGATATTAATGTTGCAGTTTCTGGTTGTGAAATTAAACTACTTAAAATTGGATGTAGGACCAATTAATGGAAGCTACAGAAACAACAACTTGTGTTTATTGGCATAAGATGGTGCAATAATGGCAGAAGAAACCTTTTTAAAAATCAAGCCAACACTTGGTGAACATAAGCATCTTATGTAACTATGAACTTTGATTTCAAATATCTGTATTATAGCACCAATCTTTCAGCTGTGACTCTTAACAAAAACAGGGGACACAGAAAGAGTCTCCTTGAAGACTGAGTAAATACAGTTGGGCATCCCCTGGGCAACATTTCCTGTAAACGGCTAATCTTTCCAATCCCAAAGCATTTCTTTGCAAGCAGTAGACTTAAACCAAGGAGAAGTTTTATGAGAACCACTACTCCTCTTAATGTTCCTCCAGCAACAGCAAGAATATCCCTGTGGTCAGCAAAATCAGGCAATTCCAACTGGATGGCCCCCCACAAGGGTTTGCCTCCTGGGCAACTTGAAAATCCCTGAACAGACTCAGAAGTGGAGTCGGTAGATCAAAAGACAACCTGGCAAAAATGGCAGTGCCTAGAAGAATCCTCCACCTTGTGTGACTGTGGAGCAGAACAAACAAGTCAGCACCTGTATGCTTATCCACAATGCCCTGCCTCATGCACAGAGAAAGAACTGTTTAAAGCGATAGGCAGTGCAGTCACTGTTGCCCACTTTTGTTCTAAACCTATTTGGCTGCTAGTGATCCCTTTATCTTATCAGTTTTAAACCTATTTATTTATGCAATACCTTTGAAATGAAACAAACAAACAACCTCCTCCATCTTCTCCCCATCTTTGGTGCTCAAAGCAGCTTACAAAAATCAAAGAGATAAACATAAAAGTTCACCAAAAATATGTTTGTACAAGTTGCATATCCTTTATCTGAAATTTTAAAAAATCCTGTAGAAATGTGTGGCTGAGATAGTGACACCTTGTCACTTTTAAAGGTTCACTGTACACAAACTTTAAGGAATAAAATGTATTAAAATATTGTTTATAAAATTAGTTTCAGCCTGAGCGTATATCTGAAAGAAGCATCAATTTCATGCTTAGACTTACCCAAGATATCTCATTACGTATATGCAAGTATGTCAAAATGTGGGGGGGAAATCCCAATTTTTTCTGGTTTCAAGCATTTCAGATAAAGGATACTTAACCTGTAACATTATTTAAATATCTATACATTGGAAAGCAATTTTAAAAAACTAACCAATAAGTAAGCACGACTTATGGATATTACATCACATTATTAAAAGCTCTTTCATTACAAGACCTGTAGAAACAAAAGAGACTTTGCTTTCGATAGGAAGGGCACGATCAAAGGGGTCAATAAAGCCTCTCTAGAAATAATATTGTTTCAGACCAGGTGGCAGCCAATGAAAAGACATTTTCCTAGATGTATGGAGAGAAATAGGATTGAGAGAAAGACCTCCCCCAAAATCTAAACATAGAGTATAGTCCTTCAGACAACCCAGATTTGAGATGTGTAGGACCTGATAGGTTATAAAAATCACTCTTTCTTACTCAGAATAGCTTATATTTGTCTCCATTCAAGTCATTCAATTTTTTCTCACCTGTTTGTTCCACAATAGTTGCCAACACCCGATGTGGGATTCTAGATGGGACTTTCAGACTTGCATGCACCAAGTAATACCTGAAAGAAGAAGAAGGAGAAAGAAAATATATTACAGAAGCTGGCATTATCCTTAGTGAGGGCCATTCCACACAGTCTAATAACCCAGAATATCAAGGCAGATAATCCACAATATCTACTTTGAACTGGGTTATCTGAGGGCCTTTCCAGACAGGCCTTTATCCCAAGAGCATCACATTAAAAATAACACGGATGTTCCTGGGGCCTTTCTACACACTCCAGAAAGCATGCACTTTCTGGGGTGAGTGTCCAGATGTTCTTCCAGGAATGCCTGGAAGAATATCGGAACACTGTAACCCTCTCCCCAGAAGCCCCCCCAAAACAGAGTAAAAAAACAAAATAACTCACCCGGCCTCCATGAGGCGGCTGCCAGAGTTCTGGCACATACAAATGATTGGCCAGGAGAAAAGGGGGGGGGGGGGAGGAGCCATTTTCCTCCTCCCCTTCCTTTCTCTTAGTGCATCATTTGTACATGCCAGGAGAACTCCAGCAGCCACCTCATGGAGGCCAGGTGATTTTTTTGGGTGGTTTTTTAAACTCTGTTTTACGTGTCTTTTGTGGAGGGGGTTGGCATTCCCCCAGTTTTCCAAGCTAATTTAGTATTCTGCAGTCCAGATGCAGGAATTTGTGGGTTTATCCCATGCCTTTAAAGAAGGCGTGGAATAAACTAACTATCAAATTAATTTGCCACAAACCAGGGTCTTCCTCGTTTGTGGTGAATTAATTCAGGTTTTTCCAGGACATTATCTGGACAGCCCCCTTTTTATTATGGAAGTTTCCACACTAAAGCGGCTGTCTGGATGCACCCTGAGTCCACACTGCCATATAATCCAGTTCAAAGCAGATAATGTAGGGATTTATACAGCTGTATGGAAGGGGCATGAGAACAAATGAGAAAGTCCAAACTTACTCCTTAAGACTCATCACCACCTAAAACTAAAAGTCACATTACTTCTTATGTCTTCATCCTACAGAATCCTGGCATTTCTAATTTGGCAAGAGAGACCTAAGATTCTCCACCAAAAATAGGCCCAGTGTGGTAATTCACAGGGAATGCACTAGAAAATTTCGAGTTCCACACCAAACTTGGAATTTTATAGCATGGCAGAATAGTTAAAGCAGGATCAACCCCCTAAAATTGTGTATCAAAGATGCACCTCTGTTCTGATATCCTCCTTCAAACTAAACTAAAGGTGGAGAAGGTAAGTGGAGTGTGCAAGATAGAGACTACTAAACCATACTCTGAAAGACTCCTTGGTAGGTATATTTGTTAGGTAGATAAGGTTGGTTCATAAGTAGATAGGTAGGTAGCTTGTTAAGCATGTATTCTTAATACCAGATGCAATGTTTTCCTGTACCCTTGGCTGCTCTTTGGGCTCACTGATACCCTATGTGTCTGGGGAATAGCAAAAAAGTATGTGTCAGAGTAATCCGTCACTGGCAAGTGGCAAAGCTTGCTGTCAGAGTGGTAGAGTAGCAATCTGTTGGGGTGATGACACACTGTGATCACAACTGTGTTTCTCGAGGCATCCTGCAGGATGATAAATTCTTCTGTGTCAAGACAAAATGCTGGTTTTGCGTTTCTCCATTTCAAATGCCAGACTATTTAACACTGGGAGCCACAGATATGACAGCAACACAAACTGTCCTTGCTCTTTATTCAGTAAATACTTTTATGAGCCAACTGCTTAGATACCATTTGGCTACTAAATGCAATAAATTTGACAAATCGGCTCATTTTCCCCCTCTTGCACTTTTTGGAAAACAAATCATTGCCTATGAGATAAGAGGATGATGATGAAGTGACAGTAGTATTAGCATGAGCAGCAGTATCACTCATCAAAGTAGTATTTATACAATATGACTTCTGTATTCTCAGGACTGAACCCTGTGGTTTCATTTACCCATGTCAGAAAAAAAAATCATCTCTAGGCATTTTCTTGGTCCTCCAGGTAATTCAATGGTATCCTACTAAAAATTGACCAGAGCATCATGCTCGAGGACATAGCATTGAGCCATGGCAGTGGTGTCAAACTACAAATTCTACAGTGTAGATGAACCCTATATTTTTTCTGTATGGAAAGTGCACAGGATAGGCCCCAAACTGTGAAGATTTTCATCTGCCTGGGATTCTTCTTGTCAGGATTTCTACATGCTTAAAAAGAAAATGTAAACATGTTTTCCAGTACTTTTAACATCCTTTTCACTTGCATTGATGAATCTATGAAACATTTTAATCCAACTTTAAAAGAGGTTCTTAAGATACTGAATTCATTTTGGCTATAGTTTTCAAACTCTATGTTAGCATAAACACTTACTCAAATAATCCAGAGTATTGTGCTCTTGACCTGCTCCAGATGCATCCCTCAAAACCTTTTGATGTCCAGATGGCTAGCAGGGCTGAGACCACATTGAGTCTATCATTGTGGTTTTGTCAGTCAAAAGCCATTCCCTGGCAAGGCTTTGATGATGACATTACTTCTGATTAGATTACAACAGAATATCTTGCCATGTAGCTAGCATGGTTGACATTTCCAGCAGGTTCTGCAGGGGAGTTGCTTCTAGCTGGCAAAACAGCAATGGTGACTCCAATGTGCTCTTGGCCAGGTTAACCACCTGGACAGTAAAAGGATTTCAGGGACATTCCTCGGCTGCACCCAGAATAAGTCTAGAGCACAATAATGGGTCACTTGATGTGTGGATACTGGGTCATGCTAAATCCAGCTTGATCTAGCTGTCCACACCTCAAAAATACCAAGATCACTTCAGAACTTCTTGGAAACTCTGGAGGAATTTCCACTTCCTCTTGCATTGGAATAACAGTTGGAACAGTGGTTCTGCAGATAAACCAGTTGTGTGTCATGTTGCAAGATGGACATACTTTATTTGATTTGCATAGACATGGCCCAGGAGGACTTCTTTTAGGTATGTATTCAAATTCTTAGCAGAGTCATCCTCCTACTGATATGTCAGCCAGCACTAGTGACTGATTCCTATTTAGGAAGGGAGGGAGGAAAGAAAGAAGAAGGCTTCTCCCTATTGCAAGGCAGAAATTTGATGGCATTTTGCACCGGAGAAGATAAGCCACATGAAGTATGAGAACTGCTCTCTGGGCCCATCAGCTTTATCTCATGGTGTTGTCATGTGCTTTCTAGAAATGCATTGAAAAACAACTTTCACTGACTTTACCTTTAAGCCTCTGCCTCATCCATCTAAGCTTCAAAATAGAAGGATAAGCTTCAAAAATGTGATGTGGGTAAACCACAGATTGGATCTTCTCCTTGTTTTCTTTTTGTTGTTTCCCATTCTGTTATTATTTTTAGCTTTGAAATCAAATGGCACTTTTGCCTTCAGGAGCTTGCACTCCCAGACATGGGGAAAATCAAAAGCTTGAACCCTTTCATCCCCCGCAGTTTTCTGACAACCACATGAACAGGCTTGCTTGAAAATGCCTTTCATGCTCACCTCAGGAGCTCATGCCCTTCTCGGCACACCACAGTGGTGCCGCCTGCCTTTTATTTGCTCCTGTGTGTTGGCATTCTTGCAGTTTCCTCCCTTTGCTTTTTCCCCTCTAGATGCATAATGAAACAGGGAACAAGAGGGGAGGGAAATGGCAGGGAAACAGACAAGGAGGCTAAATGGAGCATAATAGGAAAGCCAGTAAATAGCATTTCATTTCCACCTGCCAGAGGTATGGAAGAGGAAAGAAAAAGCAGGGGCAGTGGGGAATTGACAAGAACCAGACATGAATGCCATGAAGCATGGGAATGTGGTGAGTAGGAAGACAATATCCCCCTGATTGCTTTTCCTTTTGTCTAATAACTTTTATTATGTTTAAAAATAGCTTGCCGTGACTCTTAGAAAGGTTTTCTTCTACTTTCCAAAGTTTGGAATTAATGCACGACAAGCAATGTAATTATTACCTGTAACTAGTTACATTTCACACCACAAGGGCACATCAAAGATGACTTTAATTAAAGGGGAAGGGTGAGATAACAGTTATACTAAATGCCCATCTGTTTCAGAGTAAAATTCAAAATGCTGGCTATGAATTATAAAGTCTTAGGCCCCATCTATATTGCCATATAACGCAATTTCAGAATGCGGATTAACTGCACTGAACTGGATTTCATGGCAATGTAGACTCATATAATCCAGTTCATTATATGAGTCTACACTGACCATTGTAACATAGTTCAAACTGCATTAGATGGGGCCTTAAATGACTTGAATGTAGGGGCCCTTCCAGATAGGCCCTATATCCCCGGATCTGATCCCAGGTTTTTTGTTTATCCCAGATTATCTGGCAGTGCAGACTCATATAATCCTGTTTACAGAAGAAAACCTGGGATCAGATCCTGGGATATGGGGCCTGTCTGGAAGGGCCTTAGATTATCTGCAGTAACCTCCCTACTTAAGCTTTAAGACATTCTCTTCATCCCACCACCTTCATAGACACGTCTGGTGGGAATGCTGGATAAGACCATGGTTGCTCCCAGACTTTGGACCTCCCTACCTAGGAAGCTCAAGATGGCTCTTTCTTTTCTGTCATTTCAGTAGCAAGTGAAGACCTTTTATTGCTGAAATTGTTTCAGGATTGTTGGAATTGTTACAACTGCTAGGTGCAGTAACAGAGTGAACTCTTTCTGGCATTTCCACCAGGAATCCAATGAAGGTGGTGGTATATAGAAAACTGCCTCCACCAAAAACTCAGATTTTGGGAATCCTTATATGGGAAAATATGGCCCTTCAAATATTCTATGCCACATTGTCATTTCACACTCTATCATAAATTTAATAAATCCTATATTTTCCAGTTGAAAGGCATTTCAAAATTGAAAGAAGCTCTTAAACATACAGACAAATGTTCAGTTTACAAACCCAGACAGTTGTGAAACACCAACATATCTCTGTCAGAACCTCGAAATATAAATATAAATCCAGAGCTTCATTCAAATTTTGATTAAAAGCCCAGCTAGTGTTTGGAATATGTAAAGGGG